TTACACCCAAACTCATGAGATAAATAAATATAGGACATATAAATATTTCTCCCGACCCAGGAATCGAATCTGGAACCTCTGCGTGGCAGTACGGCATGGTAACCGTTCGGTCAGGGAGGCAGTTAAACCTTTGAAAGATAATTGTTCCCTTATCTTCATAATTGAAGGGCAGTAGCAGTATTTACCCCAATGGCTACTATATCTGAAACATACTTTGTTCTTGTGGTGTAAATGTTAATGTGGAACATCTACAGGATTCTCTTTGTCGCGTAGTACCCATAAATCTTAATACGAGTTCTTTGTAAAGAACCTCCTTGGGGGTCCGTTGTGTTATTTTCTCGATTTCGAAATAATGTCCTACCCTCAGTGTGTTTGAAAAATGCCATTAAAAGCTCTATTGTCCGAAAAAAATCTCATTTTCGGTATCAATGGAAAAAGTTTTTTTAAATTATATTATTTTATAATCCGCTGTATTCAAAATATTGTCGAAAAAAATAATACATTTTTATCAAGAACTGTGAAGTCTGTTTTGATAGAAAAAAACTTAATGTTAGGAAACTAAAGTATTTGTTGTGTAATTTCAGAATCAAACTTATGATCATTAGCGTCAAAATATTAACTTTGTCAAAAGGCGACGAATTACTATCTTAACTTCTACCGAAAAATGTTTGCGACCGGCATTCGCCATTTTTCTTTTTTTCGACATTTCTATATTGTGACAAGTTCTCTATTACTCGAAAATTGACCCCAACTGCTTTTTTGCTCGACTTTAAGAATGATACTGATGTGTTAATATTTACTAGCAATTGAACTTGAAAATTTCACTCCGGGGCAGTACCCAGAAAACCCCTATAGGAATCAATTTAGAAAATTTGGTTTCCCAAGTTGGTCATACTGGCAATCGAACCCTGGACTGCTTCACGCATCAGTGCAAACCGTTACGCCACCAGGTCATTATAAGCACGCACCGCAACGTAGGAATGTTATGTATGATAGCTGGACTAAGTTTTGTAATAAGTACTGATAGGAACGTCAGGACACTTTTTTCTTTTTTTTTCTTATTCATACCTTTATTGTTTGCCACGTGGTTTTACAAAATATAATACAGTAGTCACACAAGTGACACCCTGCAAGGGCGCCGCAATTTAGGAGACCACTACAAATGGTTAATCACAAATATAAATATCTGTACAAATTATTACATTATGTATGCCTGTGTTATTTTTAGAGCAGTGCTCAGGCTAAGGCATTAAAAAAATGTTTACATAGGTATAGTACTTATCTATTATGAAATGGACATAGTGAATATACCCACCACACGCATTTCAAGTCGCATCACACCACCCTGTCAGTAAACCCATTATAAAACGATAAAAGTGACAATACATCACATTTAACTTTGTTTTTGTATTCCAATAAAGTAGTAATTAGTGATGAAATAAATATTATTTTTCTATAGTAACAATGGAAATTTCAGATAACTATAAATTTTGCCTGCATATTTCTGTAAACATGTTACACTATCGGAGATCATTGTGTATAATAAATATTATATAAACAACTTAAAGTACCTGAGATGACTTTGAAAGTAAAGTTAAATACATGTTGCAAAAACTGGACTACGGGTCAATTTACTTCTAAAAATATATTCAGGAAATTAAATTACTGTTTCCGATCTAAATTGCGTATGTTTGATTTTTTTAAATAAACCTTACACAAAAACACCCTTACCCTACAAAACCGGAACGCCATAATACTCACATTTACTGCTTGGTGGCAGAAATAGGTAGGAAGGTACGACCAAGATGGTCGTACCTTCCTACCTATTTCTGCTATATATTTTTATTTTGAAATGCATCTCTATATGTACATTTTATTTGTAATGTAATATAAACTTCATTTACTTTAAAATGTCGCATTATGTAAAGAGAAGTGAGTGTGGGTGTAATCATTTGTGGTTGTCTATGTGTGTGTCCATGGCACCCGCGACACAGGGTTTCCCTAGTGCGGGACTATGTTGAGTGTGTGCGTTATTAAAAAAAAAAAAAAAAAAGAATATAGTCATTACAATAATATTATCCATAGAAATGTTATTCACTAGGTGTGGAGATCTGGTGGCCTTAAATACAGAATATGAGGGTAGGTTTTTTAAGATACTAATGCCGGGATGAACAAGTCGTGCTTCTGGTGGTAAGCGACACGCCTGTCCTTAGCAGTTGCAATGCCACCCAGAACTTTAAGTCGCAAAGGTCTGAGGGACACTGTCACTGTGCTCGTCACGTTGGATATAAGTTTACTAGTCCGATGTACCTGTAATTTCACCAGCACCCTTATCCTTCAAAACTGGAATGCGGTAATGCTCACATTTCTGCTTGGCGGCAGAAATAAGTAAGGCAGTACTTCCCTGGACAAATTCTTTATTCGTAGATTTTGGTGCCAATTGCGAATGTATGTACTTTTCTGAGATAATTTGATTGAAAATGATAACTGTTCAGGAAACAAGTTTAATTAATATTCTACGAACGAAATTAGTTGATAACTATTTATGCTAAATTAAGAGAAATAAAATTTCACATATACTAATTTGTTTCATGTTATTTGTATGCCTTTTATACAATAAAAGTACTTTTCAAGTATGATCATATATGAGGGTTCAGTTTTTGGGACTTGTTAACTTATATCTCAGAGTGACGGGCGCTGTGGTAGTGCCCATCAGTTTTTTTTACAATATTAAGTGACGGGGCGAACAAGACGTGCGCGCGATGGTAAGCTACACGCCTGTCCGTAACACTTGCAGTGTCACTCAGAACTTTCAATCGCAAAGATCTGAGGGGTACTGCCACTGCGTCCGTCACCCTGACAAGTCTCCTGTGCCTGTAATTTTACTGCTGACATTACTGTGTTCCGGATTACTTGGCGGCAAAAATGGAGCACAAAGAGCTCTACTGCTACTAATTCGCTATCTGCTACTTATAATTTAAAACACCCAGAATTTAAATCCTTGCTATTTAAAGTTCTGAGTAGCACTGCAACTGCTATGGACAGGCGTGTCGCTTACCACCAGACGAACGAGTTGTTCATCCCGTCAGAATTTCGTGGAATTGAAATACAGATTATTTATCATATTTAATTTAAAAATCATTGTAGTCAATGAAGGATTTTTGCAATTAATTACATTGAAACATGACCATGTCCGTGTATGATATTAATTACTTACATTCATTTACTTACATGATATTATTCATAGGTTTTAATACTCATTAAATGATTGTCTTGTAAAGGTGAAAGGCTTGTAATTAGTGATAATTCATGATTTTTATTTTCCAACTAAAACTATTTTTTCGGATCTAAAATGCATATATCGTCGCTTAAGTTAAGGCCGCATGTCAAAAGTTCACTTTTTTGCAGGAGAGGCGAGCAAAGTTTTCGACCTCATTTTTTAAAATTTTAATATTGCTTTATTTTTAAATTGTGTGTTTATACTCAAAAGATGCGTATTTTAAGGCTCCATTAATTTGTAAACACAGACACAGCTCAGAAAAGGACTGTTTAGCTCAAAAGTTCGCCACGAAAGTGTAGAATGCCAAACAGGCATTTGCGTAATTCCGTTGTTTATAATGCCAAATCGCTAGGTGTCCTCGTGTAGTATTAAAGTTTGACCGTTTTAAACACATTTTTGCAATAAAAACATTTTTGATTTTTTTGTGATGCGGCGGTTTAGCACGTAAGCGACGATATTTGTTTTCTTCAAACAATACACGTACTTTACCATTTCATATGCCTTGATGATACGTCATGGTGATCACAATATAATATGTGTTGACATCTTTATTATCCATGATGACGAATAAAACGGTTTCGTTTGTATTGTTATTATTATTTTTGTATTCAAGCCGGTAAACAATCAGGCTATCCATATCATCATCCTTTGAGTAAAATAAGACATCGAATCTCAAAGAAAACAGCTTATAGCACGATACAGAACGAATAAGTCGTGCACCTAGTGGTAAGCGACATTACTACTTATAACAGTTGCAGTGTCACTCAGAACTTTAATCACAAAGATCTGAGAGACCCTGCCACTGCGCCCTTTACCCTGTGAAACATAAAATTGATCAGCACCCCTAAACTTCAAAACCGGAACTCAGTATTGCTTATATTATTTCTTTTCGGTAAAAATAGGTATGATGGGTACTTTCCAGGACGAGCTCTATCACAAGAAGCTCTAAAACTCCAAAAAGAACCTGGAAGATAAGCATCTATATATTTGATCGCAACTTTAGTGTGACAGCTATCCTGAATGCCAAACCAGACGATGATAAAGACTTCTTTCTATACGATAATACCAAATATTCAACCTACACATAGTTATCACAGATTTTTACTCTTCAGATTCTAATTACTAATTGCTTATTATGACTGCCTCTGTGGCCAAACGGTTACAATGCTGGACTGCCACCTAGAGGGCCGGATTCGATGCCCGGGTCGGGAGGTCGGTGAGTTTGGGTGTAATTTGTGGTTGTTTACCTATGTGTGTGTCCACGGCACCCACGATACAGGGTTTTCCTGTGAGTGTGTGTGTTATTATTATTATTATTATTTAGAGAGTACTATGGAAATGCATGAATGAATACCATGAATGAATGCACGTTAACAAGGGTGACCACGTTCTAGATAAGCTATCTAAGAACCCTCAGTTTGCGGATCTATTTCCCGGTATATACATAATTATTAACTTTTTTTAAATGAATGGAACAGTCACCACACAGGCATGCTCTATCGTCAACCACCTTTACGTATACCATTAAGTGACAATACAATCAATTGCAATAATATGCTTTTTTAATTAATGTCCGTTTCCCATAGAAACAATAAACATAAATGCATTTAATAAGATGTTTGTAAAAACTGATAAGTCTTATCGTTATTACACTCTTGCGTCTTTTAATAGGTAACAAACAGGTCATGATCGCTCAAGACACAGTTCGATAGTAGCAGGTATATAAGGCAAGTGGGAATTGGCTGAGGTACAGTTGTGCTCCCAACGGGTCGGCTGCCACTATGAAGGTACTCGTGCTGATTCTTGGCCTGGCCGCCATGGCCACGGCCCGTGACTTCGACGACACTATGTTGCGTAAGTTTAGCTATACAAATTTACTTTCATATTCTATTTACAGATTTTTTTAAAAGTGCACCAGTACAATAACATGCACGGGATAATTTAACTTATGTCCCGTGATCAACAATACTTTCGCAGTTTGGGACTTATCAAATATACTACTGCAATTGACAATAGTAGCCACAGAATCGAATAGAATGTCTGTTTCCCATTTGACGAACATAAAAAATATCTGTCTTTTTCAGTCAACATGGATGTCAAAATGAAGCAAACTTTCATTCTAAAATTATTAAACCACGTTACGGAACCAGTGATGTACAAAGAAATATCTGACATCGGCAGGACTTTCGACATCGAGTCTAACATGCATTTCTACACAGTAAGTCGAAACTACCGCACATGAAAGTTCATTAATACTGTCTTTTCATTAACTCAATGTATAATTCGTACTTTACTTGCTGTTTCACAGAAAGTCGACGTGGTTAAAGATTTCTTGAAATGCCTCAGAGTTGGCATGCTGCCTCGTGGTGAAATTTTCACCCTCCACATTGACCGTCAGCTTAAAGAAGTTGTATCCATGTTCCACTTGCTGTACTATGCCAAGGACTTCACCACCTTTATCAAGACCGCGTGCTGGATGCGCTGCTATCTTAACGAGGGCATGTTCGTCTATGCCCTTACAGTAGCTGTCAGGCACCGCGAGGACTGCAAAGGCATCATTCTTCCTCCTCCTTATGAGATTTATCCCTTCTATTTCGTACGCGCTGACGTTATCCAAAAGGCTTACATGCTAAAGATGAAGAGAGGTCTCCTCGACCACAAACTGTGCGACTTCTATGGAATCAAGAAGACTGACAAGGATGTGTTCATCATCGACGAAAACATCTACGATTGCCGCACATGCCTAAGCCACGAGGATAGACTCCGTTACTTTACTGACGATATTGACCTGAACACTTATTATTACTATTTCCACGTTGACTACCCGTTCTGGATGAGAGATGAATGCTTCGACAAGTTGAAAATGAGGCGTTTTGAACTCACCCTCTACATGTACCAACAAATTCTTGCTAGGTATTACCTGGAACGTCTATCTCTTGGTTTTGGTGGTATCAAAACTTTGTCATTCTACAAAACAATCAAGGAAGGATATTGGCCTTGGTTGAAACTACACAATGGAGTTGACTTCGCCAAGAGAACCAACAACTATGTTGTACTTCGTGACGACAATGTGGACCTCCTTCGCCTGGTAGAAGACTACGAAATGATCATCAAGGATGCCATTATCAAAGGCTTTGTTGAGGTTAGTGAAATGTTAATTAATAATTGCTTTATGGACGTCCTTGTCTTATATTATGTACTAGTAATTATTTATTTCTAACTTTACAGATTAATGGAAGACGGTTTGAACTTACCAAGACAGACGACATTGAAACGCTTGGTAGACTTATCTATGGCAAAGTTGACAGGATTGATATGGACAGGACCCACATCGATGCGTATCGCTATCTAATGATCATCATGAAATCGTGTCTCGGTCTTAACACGTTTAAAACCGACAAGTAAGATTGTATTACTTAATATCTGTAATTTTCCTACATATACAGTTTCTGAACTACCTATTATTGTTTACAGATATTTCGTCGCTCCTACTGTCCTGGATCAATACCAAACTGCTCTTCGCGACCCTGTATTCTACAAGCTTCAAAAGCGTCTCGTAGATTTAGTTTTCTTGTTCAAAAAACGTCTGCCAAGCTACACCAAAGAAGATTTGTACTTCCCTGGAGTTAAGATCGACAATGTAGTTGTTGACAAGCTTGTCACCTACTTCGACGATTACCTTATGGATATGACTAACGCTGTTGTTTTGACTGATGAAGAATTCAAGAAAACTACTTCTGATATGAAATTCTTAGTTCGTAAACGCCGTCTTAATCACCAACCTTTCAAAATTACTGTCGATGTCATGTCTGACAAAGCTGTTGATTGCGTCGTGAGATTTTTCCTTGGACCTAAAAAGGACGACATGGGACGCCTTATTGACATCAACAGGAACCGCGTAAACTTTGTTGAAATAGACTCCTTCCTGTACAAAATGGTCACTGGTAAGAACACAATTGTCAGGGACTCTGTAGATATGCATAACCTTGTACGAGACCGCATGTTTACTCGTGACTTGTGGAAGAAAATTGATACCGTCACTGACGTACGCGATCTATTTGTCAAGGATTTGAGAAACTATCACACTGGATTCCCTACCAGGCTGCTGCTTCCCAGAGGCCGTGTCGGTGGTATGCAATTCATGCTGTACGTAATTGTTACGCCTCTGAGACTGGTTGACAATGTTGACATTAACATCTTGGACGTGAAGCGCAAAGACTTCATGGTTGACTTCAGATCTACCGTATTGCTCGACAAGATGCCCCTTGGCTTCCCATTCGACCGTCACATTGACGTTGATGTCTTCTTCACTCCTAACATGAAGTTTGTCGACGTTATGATCTTCCACAAGAAACAAGTATGCGACATGAAGACTCGTTGGAACCGCTGGGTACTGAAGAACTACGATTTCGTAGATTTTAATCGGATTGACTCTGACACCTATTTCACGGATGTTGACATTCACGACAAAATGGATGTCAACCACAGTTTCCACGATTTTTAAATTCTTGAAACCATGGAAATAATGATCACTTATGACAATATTCAGACTATTATAAACTAAATAAACAAAATATATATATTTTCTATTTATGTTTTTGTTTTTTTGCTTGTCGTTTTTTAACTCGCCACCGACTCATAATAATATTTAAGTGTAGTAAACTGCAGTTGTGAAGCATCCATATAACTCGATTCCCACCGGCTTACCTAAAAGGTTCCACGTATTATCAGAAGACTGTATGTACTAAACAGCGCGCATACCCCACCGTTTAAAAAACTTATATTCAAAATATTCATTAATAAACACGTAGTCACCTGGCTTTGATAATATGGAGTATGATGGATATCAGCCAATCACAGCGCGCAGTCCACAACGCAAGCCGGTAGAATCCCGGCACAGACATAATATAAATATTATATGTCTGTGGATCCCGGCTTCGGATTCATTCATGAATAAAAATACACGGACATATTCGCAAAAATCCGCTGTAAAATCATAATACAATAAGACCTAATAATGGCGGCCGAAAACTCAAAAACCATCGGGTTATGTCGAATAGCGTTCACATAAATTTAAACCTTATTTCAACAAAGGTATGGTTTAATTTTAATGACTGATTTGTTTCAATTCAATGTCTGAATATTTGCCAGGTATAAAACTTTCTTTAAAAATAATGTAACTAAATTATTATAGTAACTTACAAATTAACCATTAGTAAATCAGTAAATCACCAACCCCCCAGCGCCTCTCTCTTCCGCATTGCGATGCCTGTCAAGGTGCATATTACGATATTATTAGTGATACGAAAATGTAATGTTTGGACGTTTTATTTTGATCGGATTACTTAAAGAATGTAGACGTTCGTGTTCTATGTAATTAGCAGTTGCAATAAAAAATTAAAATGGCAACACTAGCTTTCACCGTCGCGATAAAACAGTTTATTTTTTTAAAGTTATTTGCTACATGATACTCAATTTAAGTGCAGAATAACTTAGTCAGTGAAATGAAGGATACTAGTATCTTGTGTGCTAATAAGTGTTGTATTTAAGTGTCGCAAGGCGCCATTTTTTTCCGCAAAAGAAGTTTTTTCTCAAGGAAGGTGGTAGATGTTTTTTTTTATTTTTGGAGCGGCTTACTAACACTATTTTAACGCCTCGCCACTAGTAGAAAGGATATTGTATTTAGATCGAGTAAGACGAATCTTACAATACACACTTACAAAGTTTGTTCGGTAACGTTACTTGTTTACAAAGAAAGACAGTTCACACCTAAACTAGACAATAAATATAATATCATAAAAAGTGCCAAAACTAGTACAGTTTTTATTTATGATACTAAGTGACGGGACGAACAAGTCGTGGGTCTTGTAGTAAGCGACACACCTGTCCATAACAGTTGCAGTGCCACTCAGAGCATTAAAGTCACTGCCAAGGCACTGCCACTGCGCACGGCTTCCTGAGACTTAAGTTGACAAGTTCTATGTGCCAGTTTTCACCGCATCCTTTACCCTTCAAAACTGGAACGAAGTAATGCTCACATTACTGCTTGGCGGCAGAAATAGATAAGATGGCAGTACTTCCCTTGACGAACTCTTTCACAAGGAGCTCCACTGCTACTAAAATAAATGAAATATGTGCTTTTGTCATAAAAAACCTTTATTGTGTTTTAAATATAAAGGCTAGATAATTATGTACAACTTGTCACTGGCATTTTTGTAGATTGATGACTAATATTTTTTTAATACACTAATATCAACCGAATACTTTGATCAGCTCACGCATCGTTCCGTCTTGTATATTGTTACGTAAAGCGAGCAGGAGACTCCCTTTAAAATTGACATACCTTTTTGTCAACTTATTATAACTTAACTGAAACGAAAATTAAATTTTAATTCAAGTTTATTTTGAAATAAAACTGAGAATCGCATCCAAATTAGTTAAGCTATTATGGAGATTTGCGTGCACAAACGCACGGACAAAGAGATAAAAATAAAGAGTAGCGTATCTTCATTAAGTATCACTAACTTTAAATATTAAAACTACAAATTCAGCTTCTTTACGATTTTATTATAATATGTACTTAGTACATAATGAACTGTATAATAGTTAGTAACTATAGGAAATTTTAATTACTGCACACACAAGCTGGATTTTTTATTGTACTTTATTCCAATAAATAAATAAAATGATTATTGAACATCACGGCATCTACATAGCATTCATTATAAATATTTTAGACAGGTTACCCTGGCTTTTAAATTTACCTTGCCCTCGTTTTACATTAACTCAGTGTGATGTGAGCCCACGCCTTGAACAACTCGAATACATAACAGGGTTGATAAATCAGTATTAAATTTGTAGCGTAGTATATTTGCTAACGCCATCTATTGTGGAGTAGACAAACGGTGAAACGTTCGAATAAATAGGAAATACAAATATTTCCTATTTATCCATGTCAAAATATGGATTTATGAAGTCTGTAAATTAAAATTGCAATAAAAAATATATACAGAGTACTTAAAACTGTAAGATGATATTACTCTTCATGTCACGATAACATTTTAAGAAAATGGTACATCCACTCGACGGTAGATGGCGTTGCCTGGGCAAAACTTTGAAACCTAAGTTTGAGTAATTATGGTACACGTGTTTATATAATGTGAAATTCTTGTTATTGAACGGCAAAGCTATATGCTTTGGGCTATGGTGTTATATTTCCGTGACACTTTGTAGTGTTATAGATGCATGACGTCTCAGCAAAAATTTTATATGACGGACGCTGGACAACATAACCTGAAAAACCGCCATTCGCTTGTCCTCAAACAGAGGACAATTAACTGCCTTCATTGTGAAAATCTAGGTATGTATGTCAAAATGTACGCCACAGTCAAAAAGAGTCAATTAAAACAAACATACATATCGTTTCTTGTTTATAGCCATTACAACTGATTTTAAAGTTCAAAGCTACTCTGTTACTTATTTGACTAATAATATAATGTTTTTAATTTATTGTGCTATTTTTAAGTTGAAAAAAGTATTAACATTTTTGTTATTTTGACAATACCAATGTCACTTTCATTAAAGTTTAATCATTTCTCCTATGCATACAATCAGCTAATATGATGATACGGCCGGACGTTTTGTATTTGACATTATTTTAGACTATACGTAATATAATACGTTGTTTAATAATTCAAGAGATCGATTTAAGATTCCCCAAACTAGTGCAGTATTTGTACGTAGTATAAGTCACGAGATTTTATTTTAGGCGCCAAACATCTATATGATGAATATTTGATAACTCTATACTTATTTCAATTAGTTTACTTTATTGTATAATACTTACTTCTTATCTTATATAAATAACACATTAAAAATGAAACTGTTGTTTCGGATTCGAATTCGGATCTATTTTTGAAAACACACACATATGGCTAACAAACAAATATACTTAAAACATATATTATAAACCTATACGCGAATTAGAATTTCTTTAACTTTTTTTAATGTCATAATATAAGTACACATTTGACCTCTAGCTCACCTGATGGTAGGTGACAATGAGGTCGACGATAGAGCATGCATACCTAAATAAAGCTCTTTTCACTCTCGCCTGATAATGCCCAAGTTATATAAAGTTCAGGGAGTAAACTTGCAGGCAGAGAATTCGATTACATTGCTATGTGGAAGAGTAACGCTTTGTGCGAATCCTTGAAATATCTACAACATAGGGATGGAACCCAACTAGGCCACTGTGATTAAAAGGGGAAAGTGGAATTAAATCGTACCATTAGATATATCCTGTAGAATACCGATTAGCAGGCAACTTTAGGGCAGTGTACAAGGCTTGCTTCGCCTCTACTAACGACAAGAGGCTTATGTTAAATTCAATTCTCAATTGAATCCAAGGTGGCCAGTTGGCATTTAGCAGAACCATCCCACTGATCCGAAATAATAAATAATAGAAAATATTTGATTTCCAGAATATCTTCTTGATCTGCAAAGGGTCAGTGGACCCTATTCATGAAACTAAACAACTTTAAAAAAAAATCATTATTTATGTTGAAAAATTTTAAAAATAGTTCTGGCAAAATTTGTAGTAAGAAAGGTTTTTATTTACTCTGCTCTACTGTTTTTTTTTTTCGGGAAATAATTTAAGGATTATAAACCTTAAAAGGGATTATTTGGTATTGTAAACAGAATAAATAAGTATTTCATAGAATGTTTTATTTCTTCACTTTTAAGGAAAAGCCAAAAAAATTAACTTTACTCGTAAGAAGTCCTATTCTGTCTACCATGCCAACAAACCTATGTAAAAGTACTTACGTAACAATCCAGACAATAGCATGGCAAGTCAATAAAACAAATACAGTTTATGATATTTCAGATTTATTTTATCATTAATTGAATCTGTGTTCCATTTACTTCTTTTTTTTAATAATGCTGATATCGAGAGGGAAATTTAAATCTAAGACTTAAATTCTCATCGTAATTGCTTGTTCTAGTCCGATTTTGTATTATTTAATTAGAAATTGAATGTGTGGTCGCGGTCAATCTTGGTGTCAATGTCGACATCGGTGAAGTAGGTGTCGGAATCGAAGCGGTTTACGTCAACCATGTTGTAGTTCTTCAAGACCCAGCGTTCCCAACGCATCTTCATATCACACTTTTGTGGTTTGTGGAAAATCATCACATCAATAAACTTCATGTTAGTTGTAAAGAACTTATCAACATCAATATAACGGTCGAATGGGAAACCAAGAGGCATTTTGTCCAATAGCACGGTAGATCTGAAGTCCACCACCATGTCCTTGCGGGTGACATCAAAGAAGTTGAAGTCAACGTTGTCAACCAGCCTTAGAGGAGTAACGATCACGTACAGCATGAACTTCATACCACCAACGCGACCCTTTGGAAGCAGCAGCCTGGTAGGGAAACCAGTGTGGAAGTTCCTCAGGTCCTTCATGAACAAGTCCTTCATATCAGTCATGGTGTCAATCTTCTTCCAGAGGTCACGAGTCATAATGCGGTCACGAACCAGGTTGTGCATGTCAATGGAGTTTCTCACTATGGTGTTCTTGCCATTAACCAACTTGTATAGGAAAGAGTCAATTTCAACGAAATTTAGACGGTTCTTATTGATGTCAATGAGACGGCCGAGATAGTCTTCTTTAGGTCCGAGGAACATTCTTACAACACAGTCAGCAGATTTATCTGACGTGATATCCATGGTAACCTTGAATGGTTGGTGGTTAAGACGGCGTTTGCGGACATAGAATTTCATGTCGCTAGTCGTCTTCTTCATCTCTGCATCAGTCATGACTACGGCGTTTGTCATGTCCATCAAGAAATCATCGAAGTATGTAACTAGTTTATCAACAACGACATTTTCGACCTTGACACCCGGGAAGAAAAGATCTTGCTTGGTGTAGCTCGGCAGCTTTCTCTTAAACAAGATAACGAAGTCTACGAGACGTTTCTGCAATTTGTAGAAGACAGGGTCGCGAAGAGCGGTTTGGTAATGATCCAAGACTGTAGGAGCCACGAAGTATCTGTTATGAAAACATACAAACATTATATTATGGTTTAAGGTAACATTATGTGAAGACAGTGGAGAAATAGGTGCAACCTACCGACTTAAAATTAAAATAAAGTACTTACTTGTCACTGTGAATGGTGTCAAAACCAAGGACGGATTTCATGATGATGAGCAAGTAGCGGTAAGCATCCACGCGGTATTTATTCATCTTCTCCAATTTATCAACTTTGCCATAGATGAGCCTACCAAGATACTCAACATCTTCAGTCTTAGTAAGTTCCAACCTGATACCGTTGATCTAGAATAATACATAAAAGTATTATGTCTCATATACATTACATTATACCAAATGCGTAGAAGAAATAAAATTTAAGGACATGTGTCCAAAATGTAACTCACATCAACGAATCCCTTAATAATGGCTTCCTTAATTATCATTTCGTAGTCTTCGACTAGGCGCATGACATCGATCTTGTCATCCCGAACCATAACATAGTTGTCCATTCTAGTACGCATTTCAACACCGTTGTGATACATTAACCACGGCCAATATCCCTTCTTAATGGGTTTGTACCACGATAACGTTTTAATGTCATCAAGTCCGACCGACAAACGTTCGAGATAATATCTGGCAAGGATTTGCTGGTACATGTACAAAGTGAGTTCAAAGCGCCTCATTCTTAGCTTGTCGAAACACTCATCCTTCATCCAGAAAGGATAGTCAACGTGGAAGTAGTAGTAATACGTGTTCAGGTCAATATCATCAGTAAAGTAGCGGAGTTTGGACTCTTTGTTGAGGCATGTGCGGCAATCGTAGATGTTTTCATCGATGATGTACACATCCTTGTCAGTCTTCTTGATTCCGTAGAAGTCACACAGTTTGTGGTCTATGAGACCCTTCTTCATCTTGAGCATGTAAGCCTTCTGAATAACATCGGCGCGTACAAAATAGAAGGGATAGATCTCATAAGGAGGAGGGAGGATGATGCCCTTGCAGTCCTCACGATGCCTAACAGCCACGGTGAGAGCATAGACGAACATGCCCTCGTTTATGTAGCAGCGCATCCAGCACGCGGTTTTAATAAAGGTAGTGAAGTCCTTGGCATAGTACAGCATGTGGAAAATGGTCACTACTTCTTTCAGCTGACGGTCGACGTGCAGAGTGAAGATTTCACCACGAGGCAGCATACCCGTTTTCACGAAACTGATGAACTGTTTTACTACATCAGTCCTCTGAAAAAATAAACTTTATTACTTTCTCATATACTACACACCTCTGTAACAATAACAATTTACTATGTTCAATCAGTAACTTACGGTAAACAAGTGGGTATTCTCTTCAATTTTAAAGTTCTTGCCAAGTTCTTCAATTTCCTTATACATGACCGGTTCCATAACGTGGTTCAGGAGCTTCAAGATGAAAAATTGCTTCATCTTGATGTCCATTGTGTCTGAAGAAACAATCAGCTAAGTAGTTTTGTTACAAGAAAGTATTTAGTGATCAAAATAATAAATATACTTCTGTAATAAGTAATTGTTAGTATTTTTAAAAGACAACAGGTTAGCAATTATAAAATATTGAACATGAGGTTTAATATTGCTTTTTGATATTATCGCTAAGAACAGTCGGCTCAAAAAAGCAAAGTAATTTTTATGAAACTGACAACAAATTTTAAATTTTAAACAAGTAACGTTAACTGCTTTTGTATTAGCCCATTCTTGAAGGTCCTTTACAGGTAAAGTTACTTTCGTTAGAAAAGAAAGATAGCAGTAATTGTGAAAGATTCTTATTTCAAATACCGTAGATATTCTTATTTCGACAACCTACAACAGCCAAACGGGTCACTACTATAATGGATTTTTGTCATCCAAATAAGCAGAAGTAACCTTTAATGTAAAGTTTTTGCCTCTGTGAAAGTCTTTGTTTTGAAACTCTCAAACGGCAAAATTTGAATATCAATCGGAATCTTACTATAGAAACGTATACCTTGTCACTTAAATGAATTTCTGCTTTGTGACTTAAGACGATTATCATTGGTTCTGATTTGATGTGATGGTCATTTAATCTACCTAAATCAATTCGCGTCAAGAGCTCTACACATAAGCGTGGCCCCATTTCATACCTATAAATTTTGTCCTATAAAAATTGAACTCCCTTATATAGAGCTCATAATGACCTTTGACACAAGAACTGAAGACTTGGAAAAGGATTGTATTAATTTCAAGAAAATATACTCAATTGAAAAGATACTAAATGTGGGAGTAATAAACATGTTAAATATACTTACCCAACATTTTATCGTCTACAATGGTGTCAGGACGAGCCGAGGCCATGGCCGCCAGGCCGAGAACCAGTAACAGTACCCCCCTCATCATGGCAGTAGACTCGACTAGAGATCAACTGTGCAACAAATTCACACCTACCCCTTTTTATACCTTTCAGTTTTCTTATGCACTCCTTATCAATAGTTTGTTTTTAAAGAAAGCTCATACATTCTTTGATAACTCGAGGGCAATACAACTTTGTCGCAGTATATTGCTTATGTGTGGTACTATGACAATAAAATCTCTGCAATACTGATAACTAAAAGGGTTATGTATTTTCTTATTTCAGTGCATTGTTCTTTTACATTATCACAATAATTGCCATAATTTATATTTAGCGATCGTTATATAACATTTATTACAATTGGCTTGTATTGTTGTGGCTACTTCCGAGGCAGATACATCTATAAATCATGAAAAACAATATTTTTGTAACGCACACACTCATGGCCCCGCACTAGGGGTTTCCCTAGTGCGGGGCCATGTATCGCGGATGCCATGGACACTCACAGAGATAGACAACCACAAATTACACATGAAATAAATGTAGGCCATACAAATATTTCTCCCGGCCCGGTAATTGAACCTCTGGGACTGCGTGACAGTCCATCATGGTAAACGTTCGGCCACGGAGGCAGTTAATCTAATTTAAATGTTTCATTAATATATATGTTTATTTGGGACTAATTACAATTTACAAACAAATGGTCAAAATAATAAATATTACAGCTAGAGTTATTGTGTTGTTTCACTTACAAGTTGCCACGGCATGCGTTTATACATAGTAAAGGTAAAAATAATTGATTAAGTATGGGATTTTTCATCAGAGGAAATACTGGATCACAAACTGGTGGTACGGAGAAACTATCTTCCCTGTTGAAATTAGGATTTTTTTTTATTTCAATGGCCTCTCGTGGCATCCTGGGTAGGTAACGGACTTCTTTTGCAAGGACCCGGGGTTTGTCAAGCTTCATTGAATGTGTAACTTTATCCATGATATGTTCGCAGACTACAGACTTCTTTACGCGACGGTGTTTGACATCAGCTATATAGATTTTAAGACTTTCGTGGTTATTCACTAAATGATTATCACTAATATCAGGTTTCTTACCACGGTATGACTTCTTTTTATTTTCCCGATATTTCGGAACTCACACGGACATATATTTACATGCTACTTTACATCACTACCCAAAACACCTACATTCGGTCGTCAGGTCATTAACCAATAGAGCTCATGATCTTTGTGATGTACACCACTGACAACAGGAACAGGAGCACTTTAAGACGGTTTTGCGACAGAATAGATACGAATAAAAACATGTAAACCAATACCCAAAAGGAAGAAGCAAATTAACATACAGAGACTACCAGTTTTTCTGCCCTATGTAGAAGGGGTGATAGATAAAATCTGTTTTCACCCCCTTAACCAAAATTGGAAAAATGTTACGTTCACCAAAAGACCACCTTACAAACACCAGGTGTCTATAAAGCGAACTGCAGTTGTGGAGCTCGTATATCGGTCAGACTAAACGAACAATTGTCGATCGTATGAAGGGACACATCCGAGCAGTAAAAAACATTGATGCACAGAAGTCGGCAATAGCACAACATCTCACACAGACTGACACTAACCACTGGATCGAGTTGCATAGCCCCCAGGTACTCTCGACAGAAAGTCACTACATTGGTATTGGTACAACGGTTGGTACGAGAAGCCATCGAGATCACGAAGTACAAAACATTAACCGTGATGATGGTTTTAAACTATCCAGTGCATGGAATCCGGTCCTTAGTGCGTGCAGTAATAAAAACAAAAACACCTCTAATTCAGTTTCGCGTGTGGGTACAGTGAGTGTAGTTTGTGTGAAAAAAGTGAGTGACAATGGTAACGCCACAACAAATCGCGATAAGAGTAGTCGTCGACAGCGCAAGAGGGTAGACAAATATGTCTGCTCTTAAAGATGTCATCTGCCGCCGTCCAGTCAACCCGTGACCATGGAGCGTGCAACCGTTCCGAAATATCAGCTATATGTTCTTTTTATGCGGGTACAAATACTTCGCTTCGTTTGTTCAATATAAGAGAGACCGCGCTCAGTCAAGCTTGTAAACTCCTGCATCCTGTAAGGGGATTTTACATTTCACGGGTCTCAGGAACTGAGAAATCTTTCTCAGGGGCTTGAAATAGGTCTTGATATATGCACGCCTGAGGACTCTTCCTATCTTGTCTGTAACACCTCTCACGTAAGGTAAAATGGTAGGTCTTCGCTCTACTGTTGGTGGTTTCACACGGGACTTGCGGCATTGGCGTGAAATCTTCAACTTATTCGCATGTAGGACTTGCTTTATATGCTGAAGTTCCCCTGGCAGATGATTACTGTCGCAGACACCATGTGCTCTTTGAAACAAAAAGAGAGGCCATTGAAATTAAAAAACATCCCAATTCAAAAAGATGGTTTCTCCGTACCACCAATTGATTAAGTACTTACAAATGTACGACGAGCCAACGGAGAAGAAGCGGGAACTGTTCTGCTAAACCAAATGGTTAATGTATTTACTATTAAATAACGGTCTTATAAAAAATATACGATACACCTAAGGATATTGTCTAAAGAATGTGCTTATGTGTTACACGATAGGATATACTTTCCTTGATCATATAAAATCCCAAAAATACGATAAAATAAAAGTCTAAAACGAACGATTTACGAATGAAATATCTAACTCGTACATAATTTTTATATGGAGATATTTCTCTTCAAAGACTACACAAAACTTGTTAAATTTTGGTATTCAACTGAAGCCCTATAGTTACTAAATTCACATTTATCCCAAAACTTGATAATTGCCCGTGGTTTAACGACGCGCCGCCCGCTGCCCCGTCAATCGCCAATTGGGGCTTGTCAACGTCGGATCTGTATCAAATTAGTCCCGCTTGTTCTTACTTTATTCATATTAATTTTAAGCGCGCAGATTGCTGAACGCGTGGTTAGGCCCCACTCACCTCAGTTCCTAAAATCTAGGCTCGCGTTTTAACATGCATTAATTGTTAACTCTGCATATTAATTAAATTACAATTTTTTATTACGCCAATAAAGGGATACATTTAAATGAAATATATAACAATTTTGAAATACGGTGCTTGGAAACTGGTGCTCAGTGCTCGTTTTTATCCGTCTGATTTTATTTGACTTAAGTATCGTGTCCATATGTCTGTTCGTTTCGGATTGTTTTTTATTACATTTTTATTATTTACTATTATTGAACTACCACTGATATTCCTGATGCTTTAACCGACCTTTTGATTATAAGAACAATCTTAAGCATTCAACAGAAAAATGTAAATTTTGTAATTAAGTTTATTGAATAATATCAAGTGACGGGACGAACAAGTCGTGCGTCTAATGGTAAGCTACACGCTTGTCCATAACAGTTACAGTGCCGCTTAGAGCTTTGAATTGCAAAGTTAGTCACCCTTAGACATAAGTTGATAAGTCCCATGTGCCTGTAATTTCACCAGCACCCTTACCCCCCAAAACCGGAACACAGCAATGCTGACATTACTGCTTGGCGGCAGAAATAGATAAGGTATCAGTATTGCCCTGGACAAACTCTTTCACAAGGAGCTCTACTGCTACTAAATTTACAAATTTTCAGGCTCCACCTTGCAAGTATTCGCCGCTGGAGACAATGTAGCATGTAATTAACTGCCTCTGTGGCCGAACGGTTACCATGTCGGACTGCCACGCAGAGGTCCCAGAGTTGATTCCCGGGCCGGGAGAAAGTTTTGTATATACTACACTTATTTCTCTCGTGAGTTTGGGTGTCATTTGTGGTTGTCTATGTGTGTGTCCATGGCACCCGCGACACAGGGTTTCCCTAGTGCGGGGCTGTGTTGAGTGCGTGCGTTATTATTATTATATAGAGACGGGTATCTTTACAGTTAAATATTTTACTACAGAAATTACAAATCTTAAAACCTCAAATGACTTACGTACCGACCATAAACCATACTGCACTTAGCAGCAAAGAGTATTTTTATAATATAATAGTTATGTGAATGTTTTTTTTTTATTCAAAAGCTTAAAGCTATGGGACATTTTATTTAATCTAGACCTTGTTCATTTTGATAAATTATTTATATTTTGATACTTAAAGATGTTACACAGGCTTTTTTTTAAGAAAGTAGGTGTGAGATATTGCTTCCATTACATGTTTCATAACACGAGCTAATTTTGGTATTGTATTCTTTCAGGGAGGGATCCGAAGGAAATCCACATGAGTAAATAAAAGTGTATTTCCGTAAAATGAACTACCTAATTTTTATATTATTTTCGTTGGTTCAAATTTGAACTACTTCTGTGGCCGAACGGTTACCATACCATACTGGACTGCCACGCAGAGGCCCCGGGTTCGATTCCCGCCCTGCACTGTATTTATCTCGTGAGTTTGGGCGTAATTTGTGAGTGAGTGCGTTATTATTATTATTATTATTACTGTTGTTGTCAATGATGGAATCCAATAAACCGATATATGGGTGTAACATGGAGACCTTTAGTTACATGCCTGGTGTATTATGACGGTGCTGGTGAAATTACAGGCACATGGAACTAGTCAACTTATGTCTCAGGATGACGGGCGCAGTGGGAGTGCCCCTCAGATCTTTGCGATTTAAAGCTCTGAGTAGCACTACAACTATCATGGATAGGCATGTAACTTACCATCAGGCGCACGACTTGTTCGCCCCGTCACTAAAAAAAAGCGGATGAAATTAAACCATGAGCCGGTTCACACTCGTATGGTTTGTCGAATCGTTATCTGGACGGTTTCCAGTGGCGACTGCTAATATTTGGGTGAATCCACACCTTGATAAAACCGTATACGTTGAAAAAAACCGTTTCGTTTATTTTCGCTGCCGTGTCTTATCACTGGAAAACGTATCGGCGTACGGTAAAAATAATCGAATCCGGTCGCAGCAGCAATTACTCGGTTCGGTTTTACGTATCACGCGATCGTGTTGCGATCGCGATTCTGACATGTGAATTCCATAGTGCCTTAGATTTAAACGCCGTGATAGAATTGGA